CCCCCCCAAAAAAAAAAACACACAACAACAACAGAGAAACAAAAGAGCAGAACAGTGTGGGCTTTTTGCGCACTCAACAGTCGTGTGTGACTCGCCGCGCCAAAGGCAGAGAGAGATACTTTTGGCGACAACTCATTAGCCTCGCGCGTTACATACGCATGCGTGTGTCCGGCGAGGCAGAACAATCCGACACCGGATCAGTTGGAATGGAATCACACACACACACACACACACACACACACACGCACACATATATCGAACAGCGGCGGCGGCTTAGCTGAGGTAATCTTCAGTATAGCGCGGCCCGGAGCCCATCGATAGGCGACCCTGTTTGACCCCCACCCTGGGTCATTACGGGCAGGACAATGGCGGGGCCCGCAAGCACTGGTGTGACCGCTGACCCAGCGCTGACCCAGCTGGCCTATGGCCTGCTCTCTGGCCCCAACAGCTTTAGCAGCCGTAAATACACTTTACATTTTTTTACAAAACAACCAAAGTTACTCATTAGGCAGAAGTCACTTTATCGTAACGGCCTCAATCTTCAATTTTATTTCCTGAAATTTGGATAGCAAGCTAAAATTAAGATTGATGTCTGCCGTTTCCGTCCCGGTAAAAACGAGGTTCTATGGTTTTCAATCAGTTTTTGGAAAACCAAGACGTACCTGCTTGTAAAACAGGACGTGTCGTTTTTACCCTGGTTTAGCGTAATTTTCCACTTTAAACGAAAAGGTTACTTCGCATCCGCATTTGGAAACTCCGCGGCTTTAATGACAAGGCTTTGTTGGATCGCGATCCGTTAAACGCTGAGAAGGAGACAAATAAAAAGACGCCATTTATTTGAGGCAGCGCTCTGTCTGTCTCTCTCTCAATACCATTCTCTCTCACTCCCGGGCGCGACGACGGCGTCAATAGAGGACAACAACGGAGCTCAGAAAAAGGGATACATATATATATGGATGGCGTGGAACGGAACGGAATGGAAGCGGAGGAAAAGGTCAAAATGTGGATTGCGGAAACAAAAGACGGCTGGCCGAGGGGTCGCGAACTCGCGCGGACAATGTCCAGCGACGGCTCTGATTAATGGTGGGCCAGGGCCATGGCCATGCCTCCCCCTTCTTCTCCCCTCGCCATCCCGCTTTTGGCTGGTGAACTGGACGGAATGACGGGACTGGCCGGCGGCGCGGTGCACTGCGACTGTAACTTGTCAACGCCGCGCCGCAGCACCGCCCCGCACTGGGAACGCAAGTGTGTGAATGTCGCACAATTGTTAAAAGTGTGAAATTCACACACTTGTGACTCCATATGTACGGCTGTCGTTCACACACCTCTACAGGTGTGCGAGATTCAAACGCTTCGTGTTCCCAGGGCGGGGGTTGTTGTTGTTGTTGTTGTTGTTGTTTAAGTGAATGTGCGTGTGCGCGCGCGTGCAATCGCGATACAGATGACGAGCGGAGGCGACAGCAGCGTCTGCAACTCGTTATGATGTACTCCAGCCCGTGCGGGGGCGTGCGGCGCACAGGGGCGCAAGGCAAGGGCGAGCAGCCCGGGGGGGGGGGGGTAAGGGAAGGCACACACTGCAACGGCGCACGGTGGCGAGGCGGGCGGTCAAGCCTATGACGGAACATGCCACATACCTATGGTACCGCAGGCGTCCCCCGCGCATTTACTTTGGTTCACAGTTGACTGGATGCGCAATAGCCCAACACGACGATGGGTGTCGCAGCTATAGTGACTTTTTGTAGATGCGCCTGCGCGCGGTTCAGGTCGTCTGCTCTACGGGCAAAACTAAAATTGGACGTGCAGACGTCGGCAATAATACTCCCCGGGGTGCTCAGGCCCTTAGGCCCCGAGGGCACCGCGGCAGGCGCCCCCGGTCCTTACCCCGAGGGGACGTGCCATGTCCGCCTATGCACGCAGCCCGACATACGGC